CTACAGAAGCTGCAGACAACTGCAATGTAAGGAGAATTCATCGTTTCATATCGTATCAAAAGTCAGAATTCTTTACAATTTTCGTATTCTTTTAATTTTAGAAAAGAAATAAAAGACGAAATTCCGTGTTTGATACTCTGATCAAAACACTTGGGATGTAGGGAGAGCACTCGAAAAGCTGGAAACCACTCCGCTACGCGTCGTGGTTTCCTACGCTTCTCTCGTGCTCTCCCTACATCCCGCGTGTTTTGATCAGAGTATCAAACACGGAATTTCGTCTTTTATTCCTTAAGCAAAACAATGAATATATATTCGGAATCTCGTTTATCATTTTCTATTTTTTGCGGTTTCCTAATTCTCTTCCATAAGCTTGTTATAGGTTCAAACGTGACACATGGGAGAAACGCACTACGCATGCGTATGTCTTAAGACACAATGGCGGTTAATCGGGAAGACTTCGTACTCGGCCATATGAAAAAGCACGTGGCTATCGTAATGCCTTAGTTTATAAGATGTTTAACATATCATTGCTATCACAATGAATAAGATCTGAAAGTTTCAATGCTCTGACATTTAAGGACCAGAAATTACAGGTGTTTGAAATTGCAAAGRTTTGAGTGAACTTACCAGCCTCACGTTTTTGGTACATTTTGAATGCTCGTAACCTTGCTGATATTCAACTAAAACTACTCCAGTTTACTAGTTTAGATATTCTGTTTCTTATAGTGAAAACAGATTTTTATCAACATGGACMGTTTAAGGTGCTCATTCCCAGTCCTCTGCTCGTTTTTCATATGGTCAATGAAGGCATAYAAAACGTTTTTTAATATACTTTAACAGGGTGTTGAWAATAAGAATATCATCCCACTGTGATAAAGAAATCCTTAATCCTTACTTTTCACTATTTTTCTTAACTTTTTCTTGTGATTTTTCGCAAGAATCAAGACATCTTCATGGACACGTCTTCCGAGCTTGCGCAGTGCGTTTCTGCCTAATTTCTGATCAAGTTACTTCAATARATTGTGGACTAAATTGATTGGATAGTTTTCAAAGCTTGCCAATAACTAACTGATGTCTTTTTAGGAATGGTGTGCGAGCCGCATCTATTCCAAGAGATTAATTCAAATGAAAAAATGACAAGGTATTTGATGTTAAACTGGATTGAAACATTKGAAAATATGTAATGTCAAAGGATAAAAACTTGCTTCGTCGAAGTATTACTACTCGATAGAGGACCAATKTCAAAAACTCATTTATGGTGTAAAATTTGCTTTCTTGTGTGCTTGTCCAAATTTTATTAAGCGTGTTATTTTTTTAATAATTTAATGATTTTGTAATAAGTTGTCTTTTTGTTTCCACTAGGGCTGGATTTCCTTGCAACACGACTAAATCAGCGTTCACATCATCATTGGTCGCCCCAGGCTATCGCACCGATACTCCACTCTGTTTGATTCAGGCCCAGTCTCTYCTCTACAGCTGCACCGCGTCTAGTCCTACGACAAAAAGACTGTGCCCTTGCAGAGAGTTTAGACCGGGACAGGTGGCATTGTGCAAAACTTGCTAGTGTCTGTCAGGTATCAGGTGAGATTGAACTGCTTTGAAGTGGTTTGGTTGAGAGCCTTTCACTCATTTGGGGAAGGGGAGGAAACATGTACAAACCTCATTTTGTAGAAAAGATTTGAAATATTTGTTAATAAATAATAATATTGCGTTGATTTCATCAMAAATTTGTACAAAGCTTTGCAGTAATATCAACGTATTTGGACCGATTTTATATTTGCTTGATCCAGATTGCTGTGTGTTTTCTTTAGGAATTTATTAGCCGGTCATGYCAAAACTCCTCGTARTTTTAACGTTTGTTCGACGAAAACATTCCTGTGTTTTTTATCTGTTTGTTTGTTGTTGTTGTGATTTTAGCCAATACTTTSACACCGAAAATAAAGTCCAAAAAGTCCAAAAACCCGTGAAATAAATGTTACACTAATATACCTTAGTACGCTCAAATTCCATTGTTTTATTTTGTATATGTTTGACTATCACACTTTCTGGTCAGGTTTTTGTTTTACGGGTTTCAAAATGACCTCACTCTACTTTTTCATTAGAGTGAAGTCGCAAAAGCCGTGAAATAGAGTGAAGTCGCACAAACCGTGAAATAGAGTGAAGTCGCAAAAACCGTGAAATAGAGTGAAGTCGCAAAAACCGTGAAATAGATACTTGGTACGCTGTAATTACACTAATTTGTGTATCAATTGTATTTATTTATTTTATTTCTTTGCTTTCACCAATAGAATAGCGAAAAACAAATCAAAATGTTAAGAGAACATAAACAATTAAATTGACAAGACAAAAATGCAAGTGATTCGTGTGGTAATCATATTTTGTTTCATGGGTTTATTAATGACTTCACTCTAGATTGCAAAGTAATGTACAAATTGAGATGAAATCAATAAAATCGTAAAAAGTGTAAAATATTCATTCGCACACGATCACTCTAAATATTTATATTTCATTTTATCTAATTTAATATTCCTATCATAGGCCTACATATTAAAGTTATTCATGGTAGACTTTGTTTGACTGAAATATAAATGTCAAAAGCAATTCCCCTTTTTGGTAATGCWTCTGTCAATCGAAACCACGGGTCCTCAACACTGGAGAGTGCCGGGGAATTAACACATTATAACCGTGGAGTTCTAGGGTTGGGATCTTAACGATCCTTTGATCTCAAATCAAAGGAAAGGAATTATKTAACCGCCTTGTTTGGCCTCTAAGCGCTTGAAAATACCCGGGACTTTGACATTCTTGAAATGCTAAATCCCCCGGTATTACCCGGGACTAGGGGACCGTGGATTCAATKTAAACGTTATTTTTACTTTATTTTTTTAATCAAGATCAATTAACTGACAAAACAAAACTTTACATTATTTAAAGATTTTCTTTATTTTTGATCTTTTTATTTTATGTATTATTATTATTAGTCATTTTGTATACAGTAATAATTATAACTCGAGCATGAGAACCTGTACTTTTCAGCCTAAAATAGGCTCGTATATAAATTACGCTACCAAAAAACTCGTATGAAAATTAGTTAACATTTTTAACAAATATAGTTCATCAKAAATGTCAAGTCTCTTTAAAGGACCACGTGCACCCAAGAACCTCTGCGATTGTTTGGTTTTTCTTACTAATAATCCCTTGTTGAAAGCTGCTTTCTGATTGGTTCAAAATCAAAGATGGCGGATTTTCGAATGTGAAAAAATTCCCTCCAAGGTGCTTGGATGCATGTGGATCTTGGAGCGGTTGTCATTAAACCATAAAAATTTAATAATAAGTGATATCGATACAGCGAAAAGACACTAAAATCATTAATGAAATCCAATTCTGCTTCATCCGATGCTCTTTGGATGCAATCCCTCTGAATATTGGAACCTAACCTAACATTTTAGGATCTTGTGTTTGGAGGGAGCGTTTAAAAAGTGCAGATCTTAACAGGTTCTTATTTGCTGGCCTTTRCTGTACTGTATGTTATTATTTCAAAATTCGAATTTCTATACCATTTGTATGGATTCATTAATATTCAAGCTCTAGGTGGTTTCAGTTGGTTTGAAGTAGATTGCAAAATTGTATAAAAACCTCTAAAATGAAATCTAAGTTAACCACCTCAAGAATAACGAAGTAAAAATTTTATAAATCTTTAAAGAGAAAAATACACTTAATAAAAAAACAAAATTGCACTTCGAACTATAGTCGTAGAATTTATAAAATATAGTCGTAGAATTTATAAAACATATCGATATTATTACATATAATTTTTCAATAGAGAGTTGTTCATGTGACTTAGAGACTCAACTTTTTAAACTTATTATTGAAATAATTTATTTTAAATAATTTTTAACGGTCAAAAATCCCGTGAAATAGATATTACACAAATACAACATAAGTCAGTCTCATGTTCCCTCTCGGACAATATTTTTGTCGCTCGCAGGTCCGACTTATGTATTTTTTTGCCAGAAATGATCCATACTCCAAAAAAAAAATTGGAATGGGCCAATTACGGGAATTGTTTCAAAAAATTAATGATTTTGTCCAATCAGGGGCGATCTTGTTCGGAGCTTGTTAAGTTGATAAATTAATCTGTCAAACTTTACAAGCAAATAGTCAAATTTTGTTTCACGGGATTAATGGCTTAATTGGACACTATTCCGAAATTCAAAAGGAGATTGGGAACGAGTGTGAAAATATTACATTCATCRAAAACTGAACMTCACCACATGAAAGATCACACTAAAATAAGWGTTCTTGTCAAGTTTGAGCATATTTGGTTGAATACTCACCGAGTAGGAATTTTTTCAAATTTGTAAAAATAAGAGAGAATGTGTGGTTTTTGGGGACACTGCTCAAAACCTCCATACATTCTTTGTAATTTTTTCGAGAAAGTCTGTAATGATTAATCCGAATACTCTCAAACTCAGCGGCTTTACTAATTTTAGTATGCTCTTTCTTGTCCTGGTGTCTGTTTTTTGATTGCTTCAAACGGTATCGAGTTTGTGACCAGTCACCAGTCCCTTTTTGAATTTCGGAACGGGCAATTCTATTACTACTTTACACTTATTAATATTTGCAATAACACACTTAMTCASATAAACCTAAATAGATAGTTATTGYACCCTACTATTTCATCGTAATTCATCTCTACCTGTGAAATGTGAAAATAGTCACTAGGTTTATACTTCAAAAAAATTGGGAAATAATAAAAGTCAAAGAACCAGTAGTAGGTCTTACTAGCAATTGTTTGACAAGAGTCAGTGCGCAACGACGCCATAAAGCTGGGGAGTTGTAGTCTTCGCAATTTTATACCCTACAGAAGTCTCCCGSCAAAAAGCCGTTTATATTACGGCACAACTACTTCTATTCCTGCAGAGAGAAAAAAAGCGGCTTATGAGGAAGGACTACAGCTACCGGCGATATAAATGCATGTTTTGTTAATTTTCACAAAGACCTGGCAACCCAGTACTTCATATAGATTTTTAATGTCATCAAGTTAAACTGGCTTGCCAAGAGCTCCTCTATGTTACAGGTGTGGGTCGTGAGCGTATGCAAAATCCTAACTAAGACCGTGTAGCTTTGTTAAATGCGATTACTAACGAGATCCTACGGGACGATGTCATAGCAACTGAAGCTGCCTCTACGGAATTWGTCTTTCGCGCTGATTTACCAACGCAAAGCAAGATGTTATTAAATGAAAATGCGCTGCTTATCCAATAAGTTTAAATTTCGTTACGGACTTTTTCTTATATTCTTGCTTTTTCAAGCTATATTTTTATCGTTAAATGTCTGGTGGACTTTTGACAAAGACAGCTTTCAAATACTGCCTTTTGGTCAAATAAATAAGCTAAAAGACAACATTTCGACAAGCAGTGAAAAGACCGTTGGTCTCTTCGTGGCGATTTTAACTCATGCAATTAGAAAAGAAAGAAGGGATGCCATACGCGAGACGTGGATGTCCGCTTGTAAGAAAAATCATAGACAAATCATTTGTGGYTTCTTTACAGACGAAGTAGGACTGAATGATGAAGACAAGAAAGCCTTGGACTACGAGAAGAAGACAAACAAAGATATTGTAATCATCAACGCTACGGGTAAAGTTATGAAAATTACAAGCTGTCCCCGTATATCTTTAGATTTTTTTTTAATTTAGCTTGCGCCACTTAGTTACAGTCAAAAGACATGAAGCGCGCCCCCTTAAAACACCATTATTCAATTCATTATTCGATTCTTGGTCGATTCAACATTACATTATTCGGAATTTGATTGGATTATTGATCGGATTTTTATAAAGCCTTCTTCGTATTTCGCTTGAAAACATTTTTTATCCTCCAGTTGGAGTTACATTCTCACGAACTGCAATTAGAATGAAATGTCTCATGGTTGTTTTTCTTTATAATACTCAAGTATTTCAATCATTTCTAGAAATTTTTGCCTTTGCCGAACGTCTTCTTCTCGTCTGGGAATGGGGCGAAAAACAACACATAAATTACGAGTACTTCCTACGGATCGACGATGATCATTTCCTATGCGTAGATCGTGTRCTCCACGAACTACATTTCCGACCAAAGAACGTTTCTATGTACTGGGGATTTGTTCACTGTCATCGTGGAGTTGTMCGTGTCGACGAGGGGTGGCTTATGCTATCACGGAGCATCGTTTCTGAAATCATGGAAAAACGAGCCAATAAGAGTCTTCTGTGTAGTCCCTATGGAGACCAAGCTGTTGCTATGTGGGTCAATCACTGTAAACAAAACGTCACTTACTTTATGGACAACAAACGAATCATTCACAAGAGTGCAGGAGAGAACCCAGTCTTTCTCCGTACAGATATCTGTGCAASCTACCTAAGTCTGCATGGTTCGTATCCTAGAGCGATGAAGCAGTTCTGGCTTTTGTCGGAAATTCTTCGTAAAAAGAGAAAAGAAATCATTAATTACACGATTCCAGAGATTACTAGCTTCTCCAGYCTGTGCCCGTTTTCACCGATATTTGACTACAAAGCTTTCGTCGGTGAATATCAGTTCGAGCCCAAACTATGCCATCTTCATCCAACATGGTCTGTTTCTAAGAGCCGACACGTAGGACGAGAGGAAACTGGTGAAAGATACTCATCGTACTGAYGCATGTGTGTTACGTTAGTCCTTACGTAGACGCGCGTTGTCCTTACGTAAAACAGTCCGACGTTTGATAGATGTTTTATGGTACTTGGGGAACGAGACAAACAGATCAAACAATTACGGCATAGTATAGTGGTGTTAGTCCTATTGATTGAACGATAAAGTCGATTTATTTTTTATTTATTTATTTGACTAATTCTCGTTAAATTTCCGCTAAACAGGTAGCCCAAAAAAATATCATCATCAAAATAAATTATCAAAAATATCTCGAAACTTATGATTCAGTGGATAAAACCTTGATATAAGGTCCATCCTTAATAGAAAATTAGACATTTATTAACTTATTTTATTAACTCATTTATTAACTCATTTCTCTCTCTTTACTCCGACGAAGGATTAACATCCGAAACGTCAGTAAGTTATTTCCCATACTTTTTTACGGTGTWAAACTTATCTTCTTTACACAACTGTTTCTTTAGAAACACCGACGCAGCTCACACTAGTTTACCGCTAGTTCCCACCAATTTATTAACGTATATTAAAGTAACTGTTCGGCGTTTATCGGTTCTATATCGGTACCCGTATCACGATAGCTGCGACGCCGGTGACGGATGGACCGGCGGAAAACACATCTGGAAAAGTTGTTTTTGAAATTGTTGAATTGTCATCAGAAGATGAGTCTTAGAGTCACGCAGTTAATGATCTTACCACATTTTTGCCTTTGGTAGGAAAGAACGCGCAGTTAATATTATTCTGTGCCGTTTTTCGCTTCGTTGAAGGGAYAGGAGCTTGGTAAGTTTGACTGATTGAGGTTGAGATTATCTATCTTTACACTAACTGGTATTTGAAGTTATTTTTGACGGTATTTTCTCCTAGAAATCTTACACGACCATGTCAGTTACTCTGTTGGCGGTTGTATAAAACAAATAACTGAAATTATGCGGTACATTTGGTCAAATTCTAACCAAAAACTATCATTTCGAGGRATTAAGAAAAATGGGAAATGCTTGGACTTAAAATTTCAACTTCCTCCTTGGAACAAATTTCAAMACTGYAATAAAAAAGAGCTATAAATTAWTTTAAATGGAAACGAAATTGCTCATATATTTTGACATTCGAATATAACTCTTGAACTTAAATGATGTTTACAACTGTTTACGTTAGTTTTTCGAAAGTTCTGCGTCCCAAATTAAAACTACATACAAGGACGCGCTGAACGTGACTAGCTTGCTCTCGGCACTAGAAGTGTGATCGATTTTCCAGTTGTTTTTCTACTTGAAGCATTCATACCAACTTGACGAGTTTTTAATTCAAAATAGCCTTTAGTTCTGKCGCGTTAGGAAATTGCTTTTGAGGAATATCGCGTGATGCCCTCCCRCTACGGTAAAAAATAACAAAGGTAAAATAAAAATATCGCTGATCAAATAGRTGCGACAATTGAATCAAAATCGCTCTTTTTTTGGTCATTTGATTTTTACAAACTCATGACATCATGAAACAATAGCAAAAGAACAATTTCGGGAAATATAAAAATGTCGTCAAACAGCTGATAACACAGGTATATCCGACGTAAAATCAAAGAAAATCATACGATATCTATATCCCGCAGATAGGCTAGTATCCAAAAACAACAACTTGGGGCCAAAGGATTATTATGGCAGGCTTAAGTCTAGCTAATAAAACACGACTTAATACATACAAACCCTTAACATAATTGACTTGATGTTTGTTTTGTATAAAAACGAATTGCCGAAGCTTTTTGTCCTAATAAATATAATTCACAAAAATAATACTCTAAAAACCAAGAAACCATTAATTGAATTGCGCAGTATAATCCCTGCAATGCAAGCATCGACCAAAATTTAGTTTCATTGGGCCAATACCACTCATTTTGATGTCTTTTAAAAAAGGTATTCCTTCAAGACTTGCTTGATAAAAATTGTCTACGTAAATAATCTTATCGTTATACTATGTGAAATCGTCCATCGTCAGGCCATTAATTACAGCTAAAGGTAGTTTTGATTTCAACGATCTAAATTACAGTGTTTTAACTGTCATAAACCGTTCATTTTACCTTCTTGAAGTAGACATTTTGTCACATCGTTTCTGGGGCTAAGCAGAGTTAGTAGAGGAGACTAGTCTCCTCTACTAACTCTGGGCTAAGGCTTGGTCAAACGTCGAACTTCAGCCTTTCAGGAAGCTATGGTTATGACTATAACCCATAATCCTAAACTACAACGGCGTAAATGTTTACCATTTTTTATTTTTTCCCTATATCCTACTATGAAAAATGTTTGGGCGATTTTCGCAAAAACTCGTTGATTAATAGTGATCGGTTATTTCGGGATTTTTAGGAAAAATGAATGGARCAATCGACCTTAGTGAAGGTTGGCAAGGTAACGCTACACGGGGCCTTGACGACGAGCTTGGTCATGACCACCTAGCAGAATTGGACGAAAGCTGTAGCGAGACTGCTTCAAGCTGTAGCTAYTGTTCTTGTAGCTCGTGTTCTCTGTGCGATTTATGGGAGCTTGACGATTTAGACTGTTGCACCGAGAGAGAAAGAAATGGCTTTTTACTTCCTGATACCATGCGTGCTTTGTCAGTTGAAGACCAAAGCCCCATCGTTGGTCGAAGACATGACCATTTTATGTCCTTTAGTAGCCACAAGGCCAAGCCTTTGAGTAACGAACCATTGGAYGATGAATCAGGGATCTATATGTACAGTTCTGGGTCAGACAAAGAAACTTTCACAAACAACACTYCAACTAGCTCCAACGTCACACAGGGTGCCTCGGGTAAAAACAAAACTCAAAAACACGCTAAAAAGAGAGTGACATTTCTAGATTTCTCCACAGAAACTGGTCAACGTAGTCATTCAACTAAGGGTAAGATCGATTCCCGGTCTTTGGGCAACCCAAAAACGCGTTATGCTGGCAACAACGCTAATGTTGATTTAGAATACAATCGTCTGGAGAGCATCCTACACCACATCGACCCATTCAAACTACACTCGATCATGAAACGTCAGCTAAGAAAGAAAAGACCGCAAAACATCCTCGCCTTGGGCAAATTACTGCCAAAAGATAGATATTCTGGGGAGACGGTTCATTGCGTTCGGTGCCACAAGGAATACAGCCCTCAGTTTAACAAGAAAGACTGCTATCTGGATCATCCTAAGAGTAAACTAACTTCCACTTATCTCAAAGGAAGCACGGCTTATGTTAAGTGCGCGGTTTGTAAAAAGGAGTACTGGGTCCAAAAGCAGAATGATTTGAGTAGTCTTAACATTGGTCATTGTTATGTTGGTAAGCACACGTCTTGTCCAGATGAMATCGCTTACATCCCAGTTGGAGCGGCTCAAAGCTGTGAAGACAGAGGTTGCATCGAGTTTTATGTGTAGTAATCAARTTACACTACTGGAATTAAATTTCAGAGAATTTAGAATGGAAAAAGCAATATTTTGCTTTATCTTTTGGCTTATCCCAGCTTGGGTTCTCACAAAGTTAAACTTTTGCCAACTAAGTGAACACAGCTGTTAAAACAAATGAAAAGAAWAGTCATCCCTGGTATCTCATGCAATTTATAGAAACGGAGGGTTGGGCAGGCTCGAAAGACAATACATTTCTTATATAACAAAAACTAACAATGATGAAGCACGGCAGGCGACTGATCTTGGACCAAAATACCGTCAAGAACCATTACAACCTTTTTCTTGTGTATCTGAATTTAATACAATGCAAACTGTATGTTTATGTACAAAATATATATATCTAAAAAAATGGAATTTTCATATTGGGGCGATACTATGAAGTTATCATTTTTGTGCCGTTCATTATATCTTTGAATTGCAATATTTAACTGTAACCATTATATATTATCGATGTTATTAAAATGACATTATTGCCGGAATCCAGTATTTTTGATAAACCAGCAAAATAAGATTCCCGCATTATCATGCCATTGCTGTTTGCGTTCTGGTGCAAAACAATTTCCAATAATTTTTTCTCAAAAATAAATAAAAGCAAAAATATTGTTTTAGGCCATCAATTCCTCTGCCTCTTCACGGAGAGCGTCAGCCTTTTCTTGAAGAAGCATCTACAATGTAATTACAATGTAACGTTAAGCTGAGCCCAAATGTGAACAAGTAGAGAAAATATCGTGTAGAAATCGACAATTTCCGAGATACATGTGCGCTTTCAAAAACATTGCAGGCGCGTACATGAAAACGAGTTTTTTTCGTGCAAAAGCATGAACAAGCTTTGGAACAGTGACAGAAAAAACGTCGTTTTCATGTTGATGCGCGCGCCTATGATATTTTTTAAAGCGTCCATGTGGGAGAAAAAATCTGATCGTTGACCTAAATACGAAAAGAAAACAATTGAATTAACAACAATAATAATGTCTATTCCACAATTTTGTGAGGTATGTACATTATCTAAGATGTCTAAGGCCAGGGTCAGACGTGGAATTGTGCAAATACCATACTCAATACAAATCACACCAATATTTTGTTTCTTCTCATTAACACCTCATTTGAATTGAACTGGGTTCATGTCAGACTCCGCGTTTGACCCTGGACTAATGTCGTTAATTTAAGACAAACGTCGAACAAGTTTAGATCTAACAAAATTATATTCTGCGGGGAAGTTCGAACGTGACACTAAATAAGTCGAAGACTAAGAAAGATTTACTTAATATCCATAGGCCCTTTCCGAGATAGCAGTTTGCATTGCATTGTGGTCTAGATTTGGCACAAATATTTTTTGTTAAGGGCTACTTGGACGAAAATTTCGAATCATTAGAAAAGACTTGGAAATCAAATAGACCTATCCATATGGGTCTAATAACCATGAAGCAACAGATTTCAAGAAGATATTGATACAAATCCTTGACAATTTGGACAAAAAATGTTGGAGTAGATGACGTCATTTACTCCATTCTTTTGTTCTTCCATCTTTTGAATCAAAATTTATCTGATGTGGGATAATTCCAAAACAAATATTTTCCCGCAATTGTTTTTAATAGATATCAATGAGTCATATATTTGTATTGCTTGAAGTTTTGAAATAAGGCCATTTTCATGCAAGTAGCACTTTAATGCTGCCAAATATAGCGTTGTTTGTACAAATGCACCATGATTTTGTATTTCAGAAAAGGCCTAACCGTTTACCCTCTCCCTCTCCTCCTAACCAAATATAAGAACGATCTTTCAAACTAAAATAGCAATTCGCGTTAATATAGTACTGTAATCCATTTTCGATATTTCTCACCTTTGCAGCAGAWACGATTTGTTTCGCCTGTGACGAAAACAGGTGCTCAATTTCTTGGACCAAMGTCTGGGGACTGGCACGAGCGACGTCACTCAATGAATGATAGCCAGCATTAAATAACTGCCGTGCACGTCCCTACAAACATTTATAACATGTGAGTTGCATGAGTTGCTATATTTGGAAACAAAAAGAGTGCAGATGAGAGATCTACGTTCTCCCGGAAAAGACCACCTACCTGTTTAACACCTGAGATTTCCATGAGAGGAACAAGCTCCAGACTGGCGGTGTATGTTAACTTTTTGATAATAGCCTCAAATAAGAGCTTAATTGACCAACAATCACTTAATTCCTAACAAAACAGTATGTTAATATCTAATGTTCACAATCTTATGACCATCTAACTGTTTTTTCTTAGTGTTTTTTCTTAGTTCTCAATCTTATGACCATCTAACTGTCTTTTCTTAGTGGCATTCAAGAAACGAATCAATCACAGGATAAAACAATAATTATCACTAACAAGTAAGCAAACAAGCAAGCAAGCAAACAAGCAAGCAAGCAAACAAGCAAGCAAGCAAGCAAACAATCAAATCTATCATCAATCAAATCAATCAAATCATGCAATCATCAATCCAATCAATCAATTAATCAATAAATAAATCAATCAATCAATCAATTAATTGATCGATCAATCGATCAATCAATCAATCAGTCAATCAGTCCAGCAATCAATCAATCAATCAATATTAAGTTACCTGAGTAAAATGAACCAAGCAAGTTGCATAAGAAGAAGCAGATGTCAGAAGGTTTTGAACAAATCCCCTGGGTACCTTGAACAAGTCAGCAACTAACCATATGGATTCCCCTTGGATCAACTTGTACAGTATTAATGTCAGGTAAAAACGTTGCACTGCCTCTTCATCACTGCACTACAATTCACACATCAAATACAAACTAATCAACTCTAGTCAAGTTTTTAAGATGTTCTTCTATGACAGGAGGAATACCTTAGCAAGCCTCTGTCCATATGCTTTACCAAGAAGGTA